CCTCCCCTTCCCCAGCTTCTCCCCTTTCCCTTCTCCTTCCTCATCCCCCCCCTCCGAGCTCAGTATCTCGGCCCGAGTAGTAAGTACGACAATGATGATGGTTCACTTTATTTCCTCCTCCCGTCTTCCTGTCTTCCAGAGCACCTTTTCCCTCCTCCTTATCTACTCTCTCTCCCACATTCCCTCTTTATTCCCCTCTCCACTCTCTCTCTCCTTCCCTCTCCTCTTTATCCCCCTCTGCTTCATCCCCTCAATTCTCCCATTCCCACTTTATTCTCCTTTTCTCTATTTTCATCCATTCCCCTCTCTCGTTTATTTCCTTCCTTCCTTCCTCTCTTCGTTCTCCTCTTCCATACATCCTCCCTGCCCCTTTAATCCGTTCCTCTTCCTCTCCTTCCCTCCTCCTCCCCTCCTCCCATCTCCCCCCCCCCCACACCCCTTTCTCCTCTTCAAGTAAAGAGGGGACAAAAAAGACAAAAATATTAGACCAATAACCCGCTGCTGGTTCATTAAGCGATGCCTATTACATTCTCTCTTTTTATCAACTTTATCTGTATCTTCCTCTTTTTTTTCTCCATTTAGTCTTAGTTTCCGATTTTTTTTTCTATCCCTTTTTTTAATTTTCCTTTTTTTTTTTTTACAAAGAGTGGAGAGGAAGGGAGGGAAGGAGGAGGGAAGGAGGGAGGGAGGGAGGGAGGAGGAAAGAAGGGAGGGAGGGAGGGAGGGAGGAAGGAAGGAAGGGAGGGAGGGAGGGAGGGAGGGAGGGAGGGAGGAAGGAAGGAAGGAAGGGAGGGAGGGAGGGAGGGAGAGAGGGAGGGAGGGAGTGAGGGGAGGGAGGAAGGAAGGAAGGGAGGGAGGGAGGGAGGGAGGGGAGGGAAAGAGGGAGGGAGGGAGGGAGGGAGGAAGGAAGGAAGGGGAGGGAGGGAGGGAAGGGAGGGGAGGGAGGGAGGGAGGGTGGGATGGGGGGGGGCAAGGGAGATGTTGACTGTTTGTTCCATTTAACAACTATTTTAGCGAGTGCTGGCGGACTAAGTGTGGTAATAATGTGTTGCTTGTTATGAGTGTGTGTGTTGATGGGTTTCTATGGGGTGGGCGTGTGTTTTGTGTGGTGGGATTGGGAGGGGGGGTGGGGTGTGATGTTAGTGTGAGGTGGTGTGTGTGTTTATTTTAGTGTAGGGGGGGTTGGGGAGGGGGGGTGTGGTTGTGTGTGTGAGGTGAGCTGAGTGTGTGTGGGGTGTGGGGTGTGTGAGGATGTGGGGGTGTGTGTGATGTGTTGATGGATTGGTTTTTTTGTGTGTGTTGGGCTGTTGTGTTCGTCGAGATCGCGCACGGTTAGAGGGAGAGGGGGCGATAGGGCAGGGGTTTGCGCGATAGCGATCAGACCAGCGGAGGGCGCGAGCGAGCGCGCGCGTAAAGAGAGCCCCGCTTGCGCGCTCGCGCGCGCGAGCGCGCGCGGAGCAGGGATGGGTGGTGGCTTCTGGGGGCTGCGCGAGGGTGGTCGGGGAACGACGAGGACCAGGGCGGACCCCAACCACGGGGGGACGGGGGCCTTAAGCCCACAGGAAACAGAGGCGAGGATGGAGGAGCAGAGAGAGGAGAGCGGCGGACGTTTCATCACGCAGACAGAAAAGGAAAAGGGGGAGAGGGAAGTGGAGAAATAGGGGGGAGAACGAAGCGGAAGGCGAGACGGAGAGGGAGGTGGTGGGGTGGGAGGGGGGGAGGTGTGGGTGGGGGTTTGTGGGGGTGTGGTCATTGTTGTTTTGGACGCGGAGAGATGTGTGGATGACAAAAAACAGTGAGCGGAAGGGTGTGAGGGAGCATGGGAGGGGAAGAAGAGGAGAAATCTTTGGATAAGGGCGTAAGGAGCTGAGGGGGAGAAAGGAGGTAAAGCGTATCGGGGAATGGGAGGGGGGGATGGCGTGGAGGGAGAGAGGCCGAGGGAGGGAGGAAAGGCTTCGTAGGCTGGGGGCGCGGGGATGGAAGAACGGTAGAAGAAGCAGAAGCGGAGACAGTGGAGACGGGGCAGTGAGCAGAAGGGGCGGGGAGAAGAAGGAGAGGAGCGCCGAGGACCGAGAAGGGAAGTAAGCGAAAGCCGACGGAGGTGGAGGAAGAAAGGCGACTGCGGGGGGGACAGGGAGGAAGAAATGGGGCCTCAGCTGTCAGAGGAGGTGGGGAGGATACGGGGGCAGAGGCCGAAGACGACGAGGACGTAATTCGCGGACTGAGCGGAAGACGCAAGAATTCACGAGGGACGCAGAGTCAGCGCGGAAGACGCACGCAGCATGGGCGGAAGCGGAGGACGTGGTCCACGAATCTCCGGGGCATACTAGTCGCGCAGCAGACAGCGCAGGGCGCCGACGAGGACAAGAAGCAGCACGAAGCAGTGACCGCTCGGCGGCCGCATAAGACCCTCCTTCCTACTCTTCTTGCCTCTCTTTCCTCTTCCTCCTCCTCCTCCTCTACTCCTCACACTCTCCTCCTCTTGCCTCTCTTCATCTTC